GTGATGATGATGTTGGTAATGATGTTGATGATGGTAGTGATGATGATGTTGGTAATGATGTTGATGATGGTAGTGATGATGATGATGGTAATGATGATGATGATGGTAGTGATGATGATGATGATGGTGGTGGTGGTGATGATGATGATGATGGTAGTGATAATGATGGTGATGAGGAGGATGAAGATGATGATGATAATTGTAGTGGTGGTGATGATGGTAGAGATTATGATGATGATGATGGTAGTGATGATGATGATGGTAGTGATGATGATAGTGATGAGGATGAAGATGATGATGATAATGGTAGTGATGGTGATGATGGTAGAGATTATGATGATGATGATGATGGTAGTGATGATGATAGTGATGAGGATGAAGATGATGATGATAATGGTAGTGATGGTGATGATGGTAGAGATTATGATGATGATGATGATGGTAGTGATGATGATGATGGTAGTGATGATGATAGTGATGAGGATGAAGATGATGATGATAATGGTAGTGATGGTGATGATGGTAGAGATTATGATGATGATGATGATGATGGTAGTGATGATGATGATGGTAGTGATGATGATAGTGATGAGGATGAAGATGATGATGATAATGGTAGTGTTGGTGATGATGATGAGGATGATGATGATGAGGGTTTATCTTCATCCAGGTGTCTCTGCTCTCAGTTCAGTCTGTTTTTACAGAATCTGAAATCCTTTGATGTAAAGAAAAAAAAAATCACTAAAAGCTTTTTTTATCTTTAAGTTGAAGCTGATCATTTCTGAGCTCTGCTTTCATCTGTCGGACCAGAACCAACCAGACCTGACCCTCTGTCCCAGTTCCCTCAGTTTGGATCAGAACTTCCTGGTTTTATATAAAAACCTGTTTTTAAGAATAATTTATTTCCAGGATAATCCAGCTCTGCTGTCACCTGTCAATCAAGACTTTAATCCTGTTTGTAGGATTCAGAACCTTATCGGGTTTGTTTCCTGGAAAGACCCAGGTCCAGGTCCAGGTCCAGGTTTGTGGTTCAGACTAGCTGAAGTGGGGTTATGTGGAAACATTATGAGCAGATAGTATCTTACCTGCTGCAGGAGGAGTTTAATTCTGCTGCTGAACTCCAGTTATAAACCAGCACAAAGAGCGGCAGCAGCTGGCTGTAGCACTGGACTCAGACTCTTCTCAGTAAATTATCATGTTTGTTTTTGTTTTTAAAATAATTGAATGAATCTATGAAAAGATTGTGAGTCTGTTTGGAACATGTGCTGGTTCTGGGTTCAGCAGAACCTTCAGATCTGATGGATCAGCGAGCAGAAGATGATTCAACCTTCATGTTTGGAAGCAGAAACTTCAGCTGAATGTCAGAAAGCTTTATGGTTTGAATAAATTCAGATTTTTCTGATTCAGGATGAAGAGATGAGTCTTTCCTCTCCATCACTCAGATCTGCTCATTTCCTGTCAGGTTCAGATTAAACAGTTTAATCTGCTTTTACACAAGTTCATAAAGTCTGAAAGTGACRGAGAGCTGGCAGTGTTTATCCAGCTAGAACTGTTCAGATCTCACAGGTTTGATATCCAGACTGTGTTTGAACAAAGTGATGTTGGAGGAAGATAGCTGAATTTATTCCACCTGGACTTCCAGGAACTGATATGAGACCAGGAGGTGTAGAAAGTAAACACAAGTCTGATAATAAACCAACAAACTGCCCTGTTTGACGTCACAAACACAAGCTGCCACGTCCTTCAGCTACCTTCAGCTGCACCACCTGGCCTAAAAACACCTGTCAGCTGGTTAAAGGCCAGAAACCAGTCCTGGACCCAGACTACTGACAGAAAACCAGTCCTGGATCCAGACTACTGACACTAAACCAGTCCTGGACCCAGACTACTGACAGTAAAAGGGTTTCTGGGTTGACCTGTTGTTTTTTTGTTGGTTCAGAGACCTAGTCCAGGTTCCTGGTCTCCTGCCCTGGTTGTGGTTCTGCTGTGTGTTTGTCACAGATCCAGTACTCATCCGGTTCTCTCTGGTTCCTCAGGTGAACCTTGGCAGCCATCAGTACCTGTTCACGGTCCAGGTGGACCCATCTGAGATGCCGTGTCTTTGTCTCCGTCACGATGTGGATGCCCTGCTGTGGCAGCCCCGCCCGGACCGGCCCGAGGACCTGTGGGAACACGTGGCCACCTTCAACGCTTTGGGTACCTCTGAGTCCACCACACTTTCAGGCTCACAGACCTGTCGGGTTCTGTTGGATCACCAACAGGAAGTGATCGAGGATTAAGACCCTCCCCCTTAATGTCCCCCTCACAGGTTACGTCCAGGCGTCCAAGCGAGACAAGAAGTTTGCCACCTGCGCTCCCAACTTCTCCTACGCGGCGCTGTGCGAGTGTCTCCGCCGCACCTTCATCTACTGCCAGCCATCCCCCGTGGACACGGTCCTCGTCAACAGGAAGCAGGCGCGTCAGGTGGGACAGGTGGCCAAGCAACAGGTGGCCAGCCTGGACTCGGACAAGTCCATCCTGGGCTTCAGAGCGTCCAACGAGAGGCTGTTCGTCCTGACGTCCACTCACCTGTTTGTCCTGAAGGTCAATAATTAGACCTGAGACACTCCGGGGTCCTGGGTCAGAGAATCTGAGCCAATCAGATCGTCTCGTTTCCTGGGTCAGAGAAGCAGAGCCAATCAGATCG